TATTACATAAATTGTTGTAATGGACACATCTGCCAAAAAGTGGTGGAAAAGGTAAGGTTTAAGTGCAGTAAGTAGTTCCTTCTATATTTATATGCACAAACACAAGTTCACATGCATTTCTCATTGTTCTGTTATCTATTGCTGTCTGAAAAACGACTGAAAGATTTAGCGACCTAAAACAACAGCCATTTTATTGCATTTCACTATCTTGTGGGTCAGAAATCTGAGCAGGGCTCTGATGGGTGGTTCTTCCAGTCCACGTAAGGTCAGTGGACGTCACTGAAGGGCATTCAGCAGGTGGATGGGCCAGTCTGGAGGATTCAATATACACCAGTAGAACCCAGCAGGGGAGACTGGAAGGGGGCTCACCTGGGATGGTGACCAGAGGACACACATGGCCCTTCCAGGGTGGCAGCCTCCAGGGAGTGGAACCTCTTACTTGGTTCCAAGGGACCCAGTAGAAAATGCAGGGCTTCATATGGCTTAATTTTGAAAAGCCTGGAATATCATAATCCTCCAGATTCCATTTGTAGGCATGAGGAGGCCAGCCTCTATTCAAGGTCTCTACCTCTCAATGGACGGACCGCAAAGAATGTGTGCCCATCATCTATAGACACCTAGACCAACCAATGGAGTACCTGGGCATAACCACTATCCCTGGACTGTCTATACTGCTGGTCCTGGGAGGCTTACGACTCAACAGACAACACTAACTTTGCATTGTGTGCTGGTCCTGTGCCCTGCAGGAGGAAGATGAATTCCATTTTTGCCTTTGGCAGTTGTGCTCATGTGCCCTGCAACGCTTTTATTTTCTTCATGATGACCAAAAGGACTTCTTGTGTGTCTCATGTTCTAAGTTTCAGAGCCTTTCCCAGTTATGGTGTCACAGAAGGCCAGAGCAGGGAGGGATAAAACCTGGTCTAAATTAAATGCTAAAGTAACCATGGGAGCCATTCAAGGTCCCCAACTGACCAAGACCCAGCCGGCGAACTGCGTTGAGCTGAGACGCTGGTCCTGGTACTCGGTGGGATGGACCGTCTCTGCTTCCTCCCCAGGAAACAGCCCACCCACCTTTATCATGAAGCATTTAAGAATCCATCCATCGCAGGGATCACAGCTTACTCTTGAATGCCACTGACTGTCTGGGCCCAAGGTCGACACGGGTTTGCTGAGAGCCCACCCAGTACCCGACCCGGGCCCCGCAGGGGACCAAAGTGGACACAGCTGGTGGCGCAGGAGCCTTCCCTGCCTGGGAACCGCAGCAGTAGGGTCGGTAGCCACCCTTCTCTTGGGGACTGGCCACCTACTCTGTTTGCAAGCCCCTTCCCACCTTCCCTCTGCCCACCCCCGCTCGGTCCCCTCCTTTCACTGGCGGAGCAGACCAGGGCCAGGACTCCTCCTGCGGACAGGGACTCTGAGGTCTCCTCTCCCAGCGCGACGTGGCCCGGGCTGAGACCG